AGATTGGCAACAATAGTTCCCCAGGAGCCCCATCGTAAATGCACCAAACAATTCCTAAAGATTTTCCAAAACACTACTCTGTTGATAAATTGCAACACTTTGAAGTAGCACCAAAGCTTTAAGATCTCTCCAGCTGTCACCTGGAGACTGGCAACAGCTTGTCTGGAGTGTGGGCAGTATGGCATTGTATCTGTCTGAGGTCCCCCTTTTCCTCCTCCTCCTCAGATCCCACCCTCAGCAGGCTTCATCCCTAAAATATCCTGGAAGTTGCCAACCTGGAGTTGGCAACCCTATGTCCTTTCCTGGCAACCATCAGCCAACCTTTATCTGCCTGTCTGTCTTGCCTTGCGGGGGGGGGTGAGTTTGAGGTGTGGAATGGAGTGAGGTCCAATCAGCTTCCATATGCAAATGACCTTGGAACGCTGGGCAGGACTGCACAAAGCAGCCAGTCAACCCAGCCAGTGTCTTCTGAGTGGCAGTTCTTCCGGTCTAACACTAAGGAGGCCAAATTTAGAATGTTGCGAAATAGAACGTTGCTATTCAATTATTATAAGGGAGAGATTATTTACTTCACTTATACCCCACCTTTCTTCACAGTGGGGACCCAAACAGCTTACATTATTCTCCTCTCCTCTTTTTTATCCACACAACAACCCTATGAGGTAGGTTAGGTTTAAAGTATGTGACTGGTCTAAAATCACCCAGTGAGCTTCCACAGCAAGATGAGGATTCAAACCTGGGTTTCCCAGACACTACTCTGAAGCTCTGCTACACCACACTGGTTCGTAGGGTAGCTGTTGTTGAACAATAGCAAGTAGCCAGGCCTACCAGCAAGTTGGCTGGTATCAAGTCACCCAGACGGTGCTTCCTAGCCTACTGCTGTCAACCTCCAGATGGGACCTGGAGATCTTCCAGAATTACACCTGAACTCAAGATGAGAGATCTGTCCCCCTGGAGAAAATGACTGCTTGGGGTGTGTGTGTGTGGACTCTATGGCATTATATCTGGCTGAGGCCTTCCCAAGCCCTGCCCTCCTCAGGCTGTACCGTGAAATCTCCAGGAATTTCCTAACCTGGAGCTGTCCTCCCTAGTCAGGCCTGGCCCCAATGAGTTCTCCCTCAAAGGCCAAAACAGCCCTGGAAAGGACCCTGCTCCTTCCCCCTGCCTTTTACTCAGAGAAACCCAGCCTAGTATCTGTGGTTGCCCAGCAACAGACACTGAGGCTGTGGTCAGACGTGCCATTTGGTGCGGTCAGGAAGGACTCCTATTTCATCCGTTTGTATTTGGCATGGAGTTGCTCAATCAGACAATCCAGCATAACCTATTTTGCTGTGGGCACACCCTGTCACTGAGTGATCAGACAGCACGTTTGGGAAAGGGGGGGTGCCTTTTTGTGCGCATGCACATAAACGAGGAATCAAACCCCCGCATGAAGAGTTCTCCATGGAGTTCTCCATGGACCGATTATGCAGTTATGCACATATCGCTAAGTGGGGGGAAATGGTGCCAAGTGTGCACTTGAGTGATCAAACTAGGAAAAATCTATCCGTGGCCCATTGGCAAGCATTAGGACCAGACTTTCCACGGTATCTTTTAACTCCATTTCTGTGGTGGGGCAGCACAGGGTGCCGACAACTGTGGGACCTTTCCCAAATGTAGCTGTCTGATCATGCACTTTAGACCCATCAGGCATTCACAGCTAAGTTGGATCTAAAGGCACATCTGACTGCAGCCCCAGGGAATCAGTTGCTTAAAGCTAGAGACACCCCTTTTTTATTTCCATTTTTAAAAACTGCCCAATGTATATTTTTTAGATTTCACATTTTTCTGCAAACCTGGGGCCCTTTCCAGGTTTGTAGAAAGAGATGTTTTGCCTGTTCACAGCTTCAGTGACAGGATTTAAGTATCTAAAGATTTGGCCGACTTGGCTACATTCAAAGATAAAAACACTCAATACCATGTGTCTTCACTATACATTTAAACTAGTTTCAAAGTCAATGTAACTGATAAGACTTCCAGCAAAGAACATCACAGAAAATGTGATATAGCCAAAAATTATAACAACGGTTCTCAGAATCATTTCAGTTCTCTGGATTATTTGAGGGAAAGGCATGACAGCCTAGACTGACAGGGAAAGCTGCAGAGATCAGCAAAAAAGAAAAATTTGTGTTAGAACATTGCACACAGAAAAGTGGTTTGCTCTTATGTTGTGGCCATTTTCAGAACTATAGCTGGAATTCTGAATTTATTATTTGACTAGGAATAAGGCCCGTTGTGGAAATAAATACAACAAGGTCTAGAAAGAGGCTCTGGGCGGGTGCCCTAGCCTTGGGTGTCAATTTGCTGTGGTGACCTCAGCAGGGTATAATGACTCAGAGCCTACCGTTTTCTCCAGGTGAACTGATCTCTGCCACCTAAAGAGCAGTTTTAATTCTGAGTGATCTCCAGCCCTCACCTGGAGAATGGCAGCAATGGTTCCCCAGGAGGAACTTTGGAGGATGGAGTCTATGGCATTGTACCTGTCTGAGGTCCCACCCCTCCTCAAATCCCACTGTCTCCAGGCTCCACCCCTAAAATTTCCCAACTTGGAGGCAGCAACCCTATTTCCTGCCCAGCTAAACATCAACATACTGTTATCTGCCCCTCTGACTTCAGGTTTCCATCTCCTCCCCCCTGCCTGTAGCCTCTACCTAGGAAAAGTAGTCTTTCTCCACAGTGGTAACCAAAGCAGCTCACATCATTCTCCTCTCTCCCTTTTGGTTTGCACAACAATCCTGTGAAGTAGGTTAGGCTGAAAGTCTGTGAGTGGTCTGAAATCACCCAATCAGCTTCCACAGCAAGAACCTGGGTCTGGCAGACCCTGCACCACCTCAGCAGGGTATAATGACACAGAGTCCACCATTTTCTCCAGGGGAACTGATCTCTGCCATCTGCAGAGCAGTTGTAATTCTAAGTCATCTCCAGCCCTCCTCTGGAGATTGGCAGCAATGGTTTCCCAGGAGGAAATGGCTGGTTTGGAGGGTGGAGTCTATGGCACTGTACCTGTCTGAGGTCCCACTCCTCCACAAACCCCACCCTCTCAAGGCTCCAACCCTCAAATTTCCAGAATTTCCAAACCTAGAGTTGGCAGCCCTATGTCTTTCCCAGCTAACCAATAATCGACCTTTATCTGCCCCTCTGACTTCAGCTTTCCATCTCCCCCTCCATCTGCAGTCTCTAACTAGGAAAAGTACAGTCTTTCTCCGCAGTGGGGGCAAGCACGAGGGAAGCGACCTCAGCAGGATATAATGACACAGAGTCCACCCTGCAAAGCAGCTGTTTTCTCCAGGGTATCTGATCTCTGCTATCTGGAGAGCAGTTTTAATTCTGAGTGATCTTCAGTCCTCACCTGGAGATTGGCAGCAATGGTTCCCCCAAAGCAAAAGTACAGTCTTTCTCCGCAGTGGAGACTAAAGCAGCTTACATAATTCTCCTCTCCCCCTATTGATCTTCACAACAACCCTGTGAGGTGGGTTGAAAGCCTGTGACTGGTCTGAAATCACCCACTCAGCATCCACAGCAGGAAACTGGGTCTGGCAGACCCTGCTCTGAAGCACTAACTGCTATGCCTGGGGTAGCCAACCTCCAGATGGAGCCTGAAGATCTTCGGGCATCACAGCTGAACTCCAGAAAACAGATCTCTCTCCCCCTGAAGAAAATAACTGCTATGGAGGGTGGACTCTATGGCATTCTGTTCAGCTGAGGCCTCTCCCCTCCCCAAACTCTGGCTTCCATAGACTCCACCACAAAATATCCAAGGATTTCCCAACCTGGAGCTGGTAACCCTAGTCAGGACTTGCCTCAATGAGTTCCCCACAAAGGGAACTCCTGCCTTTGCCTTTTTACTGACAGAACCAAGTTTGGTTGCCTAGCAACAGCTACTGAGGGAAAAGTTAGCCCCACAGCAGAAGGAGAAAAGAATGGTTTGACAACTAGTGGCCCACCTCAGTAGCCAGCCTGCGGCAGAGGAGCCAAGCAGAAGTAGAAGCGTCTTTGTCAGGAGAGACAGCCATTTTGGCAGTTTATTCTATCAGGGAATGTCCAAGCTGTCAGTGGGTGAGGGAGCAGATTGGACCCAGCCCCCAGCCAATGGCATGCAAGTATGCTTGAGTGGCGGTTTACTGGCCAATGGCTGATGGAGTGCACAGCACAGCCAATAGGAGAGTCAGAAAGTGCCAATACATAGGGCAATTATATATATAGGATGCGCACTTCTAATATTTAGGCTACCTATTGTATTTATATATAACATTAATTTATGAAGACATGGTGGATTTGTACCCTTTAGTTAGTTTAGTTCTCCCATTTTTATGTTAGGTTGTCCCCCAATATTCCTCAGCTCCTTCTCAATTTACTTCATGAATATTATGGAACTAGTAATCAGGCCCATTGCGGAAATAAATGCAATGAACTCTAGAAAGAGGGCCTGGAGACTGCGCAGAGAGAAAGAAAGGGGGAGGGAGGAAGGGCTGGAGGGAGGGACAGGAAAGAGCGGTAAAGAGTGGGGCAAGACAACAGATGCAAGCAAGCGAGGCGGACTTCGCAAACAGGGGGAGAGGGGCGGAAGAGAGAGAGAATCGGAGGGAGGGAGGGAGACAGAAAGAAATCAGGCAGCCGAACCAAGAGAGAGAAGAGCTGGAAAGGGGAGATCCGCAGAAGTCACTGCAGGGGGAAAGGCTCTGATTGCAGCGTACTTACCTGAAAGTTTTATTGCACTCAGTCGGACTTCCAGGTAAGTGTGCTGATGACAGGGGGCCGGAGGTGGCGGTAGGAGGAAGAGGGCAATGGATGGACAGATGGGACAGGCTGGGCAGGCCAGAGGCAGAGAGTGGAGCGAGGGATGGAGAGGAGAGAGCGTGATCAAAGGAGAGGCAAGGTGGAAAGGGGAAATGCTGGGGGGGGCGTTAAGAAAGTGGAGGCGGAGGGATCCTTCAGGGGCTTCATGGCAAGGCATCGCCCTGTCCGTCTCGGCAGAGATCTGCTCGGCAGAGAGAGCAAGGGAGCCTCCAGGGGAGGTGTGGGGGATGAGTGAGAGGAAAGAGGCAGGAAGAGAAACGAGAAGTCCAGAGCAGAAGTCTATCAGTGGCTATTAGCCACAAGGTATAGATAAGATCTCTCAGTCTGGGGCAAGTGCTGATCTGTATTCTTGGTGATTGGGGGGCAACAGTAGGAGAGCTTCTAGTGTCCTGGCCCCACTGCTGGACCTCCTGATGGCACCTGGTATTTTTGGACTAGATGGGCCATTGGCCTGATCCAACATTGGCTTTTCTTATGTTCTCTTATGTTCTTATGAGAGATGGAGCCCCGAAGGGGAGGTCAGTGGCGAGAAGTGCTCCCCCAAGAGGGTGAGGGAAAGGTGGCACAAAGAAGCCCGCCCGTATCCTCCCCCCTCTCCCGGCAGCTTCGGCCAAGCCCCGTGCCAGGCCGCCGCAGGATGGGAGTCCCAGCAAGGCAAGTGCTGTCGTGGGCGGGAGGCCAGGCCTCGTCCTGGGCAGGACATTGGGCCTGTGGCCCCCCGTTTGCCAGAGGGTGCTCGCCCTGGCTGCCGGGCTGAACCACTTGCCCTGGCTGCCGGGCTGAACTGCACCCTGTGGCCCGCTGCCACCTGCCCCTCCTGGAGCCCTACCAGCACACTGCAAAGCGAGGGGGGACCAGGACAGGGAGCGGATGGACGCCGCCCTGGCGAAGGGGAGGCCTGAGGCCACCCGTCCCTTGCGGAGCGTCCATCCCCTTCACCGGCTCCCCCCAGACTGAGGCCGATACACTGGCCGTGGGCTCTGTGGGCAGGAGCGAGGCAACGCAGCGAGGGAATGCAGCCCAGGGATTGGCAGTCCTTCAGAGTGGCAGCTGAGGGACCCAAAGGCTGTGGGAGCATGTGCAGCGTTCACACCAAAACAGCTTTATATATAATGAGAGATAGGATTTTTTTGTCTACATTTTCATGCCTCAGTAAACCACTTTGAAGCACCACAGCAGTTTCTGTTTAATTGCATATGGAAAGCAACTCCAACTGAGCTATTGAAGGGCACTGAGTACAGCAGTAGTAGTTTTGAGGAAATATAACTCTGTAAACTCTATAGTGGTTTCACTTGAAGAAGATGGGCTGGGATTGTCCTCACCTAGTCCTCCAGCTACAATGATTCTTCCTTTCAGGTAGCCAGCTATGAAATCTGCTCGCCGCTTCTTCAGAAAGGAAGACCGTTCAATCTTCATCCAGCCTCCTGAAATTAATCAGATCATTCATTAATCAGGATTTTCTGTGACTTTATTGAAGCTTTTTAATTCATAGAAACCAAGAGTTTCAATAACACTAAGATCAGGGAAATACAAGAGGGCTTGTTGTATGCATGCATTTCACTACAAGGGCATGCTAGCTTCAGCATCCAACCACTAGGCACAATCTATTCAGGTGATGGAAAGCTAGCTCTAAAATTTGGAAATTGAGCCAATCCCATATGCTGTTGGGATGGGCAGACACATAGACACTCTGATAAATTTGGGGCTAGAGCACTCACTCTGTAGGAGAAGACGTAGCTTAATCTGATGTTGAGTGAAATATCCTTGGAGCAGCTGAAAAAAATGCTTTGCCTTATACTTCAAGAGAGGACTTTCAGGGGGCTGAATCAGAAACCTGGTTTCAAAGGTTTCACAGAATGCCATGTCCTCCTCTTACTGTTAATTTATTTATACCGCAGGGTGGCTTAGGAGAGAGTTCAAGGCTTGACTCTGCACTTAGAACAAAACCTACAAATCATGGATTTTGTCACTCTGAAAGCATAACAACTATCCAATGGATGAGCAGTGCCAGGAGCTGTTTCCCATTCATGAGTTTTCAGCAGAGATGAGCAGCACAGGTTTCATAAACTCATGCAAACTGTTGTCATTCATTGGTGGATTTCATGAATATTTCAAAGTCTGTATGTCGCCCCAACTTAAAAAAAAAACATACACTCTCCTTCATCTTGCCTCTATTGTACTTAATTATGCATAATAGACAACAGGTAGAGACCCAAGCAGAACTCACCTTGCTCAATGTTAAACACATCTACGTTCTTCATAAATTTGGGCTGACGGTATAACCGGCCCTGTCGCAGTCCCCCAATGCTGAAGATGTTGTCCTCTGTGCACAAAAAGCTTGAAAAAGCCCTTTTGCTAGGGATGCTGGGAAATTTGGTCCATGATCTAGTCTCGATGTCAAAGACGTCAAAGGCATTCACGGCATATTTGGATTGCCTTCCACCTGGGATAAAGAAAGAAGTACAGAGAAGGGTCAATGTGGCTTGTACCATCCACTGACCTACAGCTTGGAGATGTTTTGGCAAGAAGCGGAATGTGAATTGCAGAGAGAGCCAGGGCAGGTACAGGGTCACTATTAAATGGCAATCCATGCCACGAAGACTGCTCAGTTATTCTACAGTTCTTATGCCTAGGTGGTAGCAATTCTATTACAGGGCCTGATCACTTTTGAGAGGTTCAGTTGTACGGAAAAATTCTGTACTTCATTTGGAGTGTAGGGTGGCCACGAGAACATAGAAATTGGCTATCTCTGGACTAAGCACTCCTGACAGGAGGTATTAACTAAAACGAAGGTTACTTCACAGGACCTAAATAGTATTGGTGGCTTTGACTGACATAGATAACTAGTGGAATTCATTACTATTCTGAGGCCATACTGGCTTGAATAGTGTAAAGGTCCCTTCACCTAACCATCAGACTTTTTGTTCTTCGTTGTAAAGATGCTTTTCAAATAAAGGGTGAGGTACGTTTATAGACTATCATTTCTTGCACAGGGTTTCTTGAGACAGCATGTCTCATCAGTTTCTTTCTTAATAACTGTAGCTGTCCATCTTGATCAGTTCAGCACATTTCATCCCCTTTCCAGCCACACTAGACATGTTTCTTACAGTGAAATAAACAAAAATTGACATGGTTCCCTACACAAGTTTCAAGATGTGATTTGATCACTCAAGTACTCTTTACATCATGCATGGCTGTCATAGAGTAGCACGAAGAAACAATCTTGTTCTTATCAAGCTTATGGTATATTGAAGAGTCCATGATGCAGGCAGTCAGGAGGAGAGAAAAAAAAGGTCATATGATCTGTGGAAGCAGATGGGTTGTAGAGTTCCATCTGGAATTTGCCTTCTTAGCTCCATCTGGAATTTGCCCATGCCTACAGCATGCTGTACAGATCCACATAAGAGCAGTAGAACATTGGCTGTCATCATGCCTACCTGTACCCACTCCTGAGTCCTGACGGCTTTCTTGTGCTGGGGCAGTATGCTTGTTTAGAAACCTATAGGATTGCTGTCTTTTTCACTAGCCTGAGGCTGGAGCTATATGTTATACATATCAGGGGGATGCTATCAAATCAGCATGATCCATACCCAGCTGTCACCCTTTGCTCTGTGACTTGTAGGAACATTCATCTCACAATGTGATCTAAGATCAGTTAGGGGACCCCTCATTCAGGTAACAATTTATTTAACCTCGCTGAACCTTTTTGATTGCTGCCCTGGTGTTTTGGAATACCATTCCTTTGATTAACTCACTGGGTATTCCACAGAAAATGGGTAAGATTTTTGTTCCAGCAGGCATTTAATACATATATAACTTCCTGATCCTTCTTGTCCTGCTTTTTAAAATTTGGCGTTATTATTGTAATTTTAATATTTTGTTTACACCTTTTATGTTTTTATATATTATACACCGCTCTGGAAATAAAATAGGTAATGGATTTCGTAAATAAATACATAAAAATTGATAAAGGGAGTTTTACCATCAGAGGATAGCAACAACTGAGAAGGTCTTTCAGAAAAAAGTACACAAGCATGCATAATTATCTAGGGTAAACTTTCAAAGGACAAATTGGAAGTTTGGCTCCTACATGTTTGTTTTACCTTTCAGTTTATCTCTGAACACCGAAAGGATTCCTTGCAGCTGTTCAGAATGAGTATGGATTTCGGGGAAGGTTGTACCAAATATAAAGCAAATATTTCTCGCCAAAGGAAAAGGGGTAGTTTCTATTTTTCATGTTCTTTAAAGGGACTCTTTAAAAAAGCAATTGGCCACTACTTTTATTCTTTATAAAAAGGAAATCAATACATCACAATATTATGAACACTGGACTGAGTATTTATCTTTAACTCTCTAATTTATCTTTAACAATTCTCATCTGTCTATTTGTTTTAGGTATTAAATTTGCAGAGCTAGGAATTCAAACATGAAGGCTGTAAGCAACTGCATATGAGTCAGAAAATTAAATGGCTCATAAATAGGATGTTTTTATGAGCCAGTGAGATCCAGTGAGATCTTAAGCTGATTGACTTCAATTGACTTAGAAAGGTATAACTCTGCTTAGGACTGTATAGTAAGAAAATGTAAATAAGACTGAATGAAACTAGGACTGGCCCTAACAAGAAATACAGTAAGGAGGTCTACTTGGGAAGGATAAAGTGTAGCTGATCCTATGCAGAATTAAATGCACCTAAGCCTGTTCATAGAATAATAGAATGTTAGAGTTGGAAGGGACCTTGCAGGTCATCTAGTCCAACCTCCCGCACTCTGCAGGAGCATAGCTGAAAGATAGCCCTACAACATACCCGAAAGATGGTCATCCAGCCTCTGCTTGAAAACGTCCAGCGAAGGAGCATCCACCACCTCCCAAGGCAGTCTGTTCCACTGCTCAACCACTCTTACAGTTAGGAAGTTTGTCCTGATATTTAGCCGGTAACGACTCCGTTGTAATTTCCACCCATTGCAAGAGAGAATAGATCCACTCCATCTTCCACATGACAGCCCTTCAAATACTTGAAGACTGCAATCATGTCCCCTCTAAGCCTTCTCTTTCTCAGGTTAAACATACCCAACTCTTTCAGCCTTTCCTCATAAGACTTGGATTCCAACCCTCTCACCATCCTGGTTGCCCTCTTCTGGACATGCTCGAGCTTGTCAACATCCTTCCTAAAATGTGGTGCCCAAAACTGGACACAGTACTCCAGGTGAGGCCTGACCATAGCAGAATAGAGCAGAAGTACCACCTCCCATGATCTGGACACAATGGCTCTGAATGCATCCTAAGATTGCATTAGCTTTCTTCGCAGTCACATCACACTGCAGGCTCATGTTTAGCTTGTGATCAACCAGAACACCTAGATCCCTTTCACATGTGCTGCTGTCAAGCCAAGTCCCTCCCATTCTATATCCGTGCCTTTGATTTTTTGTACCTAACTGTAAGACTTTGCACTTATCTCTATTGAAATTCATTTTCTTTGTCTCAGCCCACTGTTCTAGCCTATCTAGATCCTTTTGAATCCTGACTCTGTCTTCTTCAGAATTAGCAATCCCACCCAGCTTCATGTCATCTGCAAATCTGATAAGCATCCCCTCTATGTCTTCCTCCAGGTCATTTATAAATACATTGAACAACACTGGGCCTAGGACCGAGCCCTGTGGCACTCCACTCAAGACTTCCGTCCACATAGACACAGAGCCATTTACAAGCACTCGTTGCACCATCCAACCACACTTAACCAGCTTATCCTAGTTCAGACCAATGGGCTTTGAGCATGCCTGACTGCAGAGGCTGATATCTGATCTTAGTTTTTGCCTAAAAAGACTGCAGCCAGCACTTAAGATAAAATAATGTTAATTTTCTTAACAACTGTGATGTTTTGCTCAGTGGAGGTTAACTGTACAGAGATCATTTCCCAATGGGTCTGGTTTAGGAAGACATCAGAGCTTAAAGAAAATGACCCCCTTCCAGCTGGGGCGGGACAGCTGTGTGAGAGAAGAAACATTGAGAAGAAACAGAGAGAGAGGCAGACAGAGACTGCTGGATATTGGCTGAAGCATCTTAGGGATGCAGAATCTTTGTCTCTCTGGGATCTGGGGTGGAGTAGTGGATCTGTTGCCTGACTGAGTGCCTCTCAACCTCCATCTGTGTGGTATACTTGTTAAAGCAAATAGCGTATTACAAAAATGTCACAAGATTCCAATGCTCTCTCCTCCAAAGGGAACCAACCCTGGGACTTCACTACTTGGAAAAGTAGGGAGTTCATAACAATATTATGCAACCTTTTCTTTTAGCCACCAAGGATGAGTGGGGTGCTGGATCTTCTGCCAAGACAGCAAAATATCCCAGGCATGCCATGAATGAAAGCAGCACCTATACATCAACCAGACTGAATAAATGCTTTTCATTTATTATGATTCAAAGCACCAGTTACTCATAAAAGAATATAAATCTTCAAAGGGAAATAGAAACAAGATTTCAAAGAATGATACCCATGTGGCTCAACGCAAGACTTAACATGTCCCAGCATGTTAGTGACAACACGTCTCTTTATTTCACTATGCATTTTGCTTTGACACTGTGTTGGGAACAGTGGAAAAATTGCAGCGGCATAGTCATGACTGATTCACAAGGATGTTTCTACAAGGCATGTTTGATAAAGCATGACTGATGCCCAGTAATTTATGGCCAGGAACTCAATACTGAATAAATGACAGAGTTGGGCCTTAATGGCAACAAAAGATCATACATGAATAAAACTAAAGGATTTCTCCATCTGCTTCCAGTTCAGTTCAGAAGGTTTGAAGACCTGAGGATTTCAGAGATCTCCGTTGGGCCAAGAGCTGTGAGAATTTAATAAGGGGTTCTGCAGCAAACCTGCAAATATTCATTTGCCTGGCTACCTGTGCTGAGTGTGAGTAGCACATCTACATGGTCAAGGGACACCCCCACCCCCCCGACTGAAAAAGGCTTCTGGTTCTCTGGTTTTTACATCACAGTGTGTGTCACAAATAATTAGTACAGAAAAGTATGGGCAAGTGTGCTAAATGTACTGTTGGTCTATAAAGTAATAAGAAGGGCAATGGTTGGTAAAAAACAAAGTGTGGGATCTATACACACACAGCAAGCACAATGGGAAAATCTTCCCAGATTTAGTACCTGGTCACTCTGTGCGAAAGATAGGCAATTTCAATGGGAGGATGACTTTGGCTACCATATCTCATAAATCTCTATATTTTATCTACTAGGAAAAGGGCCCATTGTGGAAATAAATACAATGACCCCTAGAAAGAAGCTCTGGGCGGGTGCCCCGGCCTTGGACACTCAGTGTCCATTTGCTGTGGCGACCTCAGCAGGGTATAATGACACTGAGTCGACCATTTTCTCCAGAGGAACTGATCTCTGCTGCCTAAAGAACAGTTGTAATTTTGAGTGATCTCCAGCCCTCACCTGGAGATTGGCAACGATGGTTCCCCAGAAGGGACTAGTTGGTTTGGAGGGTGGAGTCTATGGCTTTGTACCTGTCCGAGGTCCCACGCCTCCTGAAACCTCACCCTCTCCAGGCTCCATCCCTCACATCTCCAGGAATTTCCCACCTGGAGTTGGCAACCCTATCTCCCTCCCAGCCAATCATCAACCTACCTTTATTTCCCCCTCATTCTTCAGCTTTCCACCCCCCACACCTGCAGCCTCTCCCGTGCTCTGAAGCCGTGACTGCTACGTCACATTGGATGTCATATGGGTGCCACCTCAGCAGCATATAAGGATACAGAGTCCACTATTTTCTTCAGGGGAACTGATCTCTGCCATCTGGAAAGCAGTTGTAATTCTGAGGGATCTCCAGCCCTCACCTGAAGATTGGACACATTTTACCTCAGAACAGGAAACTGTTTAGAATGTTAGAGGCAAAAGCCAATCAAGTCGCATATGTAAACGACCTCTGTGTTCCGAGGCAAAGGCCAATGAGGCTGCATATGCAAATAACCTCTGTATTCTGACTGGCTATGGGGGAGGGGAGGAACAGCAAAATGTTTAGAATGTTGGAGGCAGGACTCAGGCAAAGCAGCCAGTAGATAGGGAGACCCTCTGAATGACAGATTAGATTTTGGAGCGTGTGGAATGTTCTAGAGAAGTGCCACCACCATTCGGCTTTTATTTATAAGGGAGATATATTCTGCAAGAGAGCCAGACTTAAAAACGGTGATTCTCAAACAGATTTGTCATCATCAGAATCTGCAAGTCAGCCCCAGGACGCAGGACTTTCTGTCTATGACTACAGTTCCTTTCTCTTTCTCCACAGAACTTAATAGAGCAACTAAAATTAGAGAACCAGTGTAGGATCTGGAAGACCCAAGTTTGAATCCCCATTTTGCCGTGGAAGCCTGCCGAATGACTTTGTCACAGTCTCACACTCTCAGCCTAACCTACCTCAAAGGGTTGTTCTGAGGACAAAATAAAGGAGAGGATAACGATGTGAGCTGCTTTAGGTCCCCAGTGGAGAGAAAGGCAAAATGAAGCAAATTAATAAATAAACAAACCAAAGATAATGCATCTTTTCCCATGCATAAAACGCAAATTACAGTCTCAATTTGCCTCAGGGCCATGCCAAGAAGATTTAATCCTTCAACCTCTACTCCGTTTTGCTGTTTGGAGCTGTCAGCCCTTGCTGTGCTAGTAGCACCATAGAGAATAAAATGTGTGTCTTTTTAAAATGTGCATTTCCGCCCTTTCTTTAAAATACTACTAAGAAAGTGGTGAGCACATTTTTGACAAGGGAAGCTGAGAGCAGATTGAAAGGTTAGATCTCCCTTCCCTGCGCGGTCTTGAGGCAAAGTGAAATGAACAAGCTTGCAATTTACATTTTATGGACAGGAGCAAGACACAGAGTTTTCCTATTCTCTGTTAAAACGTTCTATACAAGTCAGTGAAGAAAGGCAAACGTCTGTAGCAAGAGAAACCAAACAATAATGTTCAGGGCAAGTGGGAAATGGATCCTTCATCAATAATTCAGCCGATTTGCAGAACTTTCCCCCTTTCTCTACATAAGGAAGTACAGCAAATAGCACTCCATAGGCTTATATAGGGAGGGCCAGTAATCATGGACACCAATGAGTAGGCAATGCAGTCCCATAACCTGCCATCCTTTTTTCTTCAAAGTAAAAAGAGGGGGAAGCTTGACGTCATCAATTATTCTCCTGCTCCTCCTTGCTCAAGCTGCTTCAGCTGTCCTTTGCACTCAAGTTGTGGTACTACTTCTCTTTCTCTTTCTGCCTCCGTACCTGCATATCAGAAGTCCTTGGTGCCTGCATTTGAGAATTCATGCTCCAAAAGGACCTTATGGCAGGGACTATGTAGATAGGACTGCATGTTCTCAAGAGATTCTGTACTGGCACTCAAATTTGCAATGAGTGCCAAACTCAACATCCTTAGACTCGCTGTTTTCTTTCTTCCTCTGCCTCCTAAAACCCAAGTATGTAGCCCTTATTTCTTGAGAGAAAAGTGTACTGCCGTTACAAGTGAAATTGCAGAAGCCAGGGATCAGGACTGAGATAGATATCAAGTGGTAAGGGGACAGACCAGTTCTCACAACTGTCAGAAACTGAATTATCCCTATATCTCTCCTTATATATAATTCTGTTTTGGTCATGG